TTATCAGCTATATATTACTTAGGCTATGTTTCATATATTGTCTTTAACGCCGTGTGTAGATATGGGCCTTGCTGATGTATCAGAGCAGTCGATCGGGGTGAGAGAGGTTAGAAGTATGGTGCAGCTGCTTCTTCGCATCCTGGATGAGCCCTACAGTAAGTGGTCTTACAACATGGACAGAGCATTTAAATGTGTGTGCTATCTTCAGTCGTAATTATTAATAACAAGGCAGAACTGGCACCTTGCTTTAATATTGCAGTAGAATAGTATAGTAGAATTCAATACACTAGTTAAACATGCACTACGTAACTTTTCAGGTGGGCTTCTGGTACCTGCTTGTTTTGAGATTTTATTGCTTTTCCTGAAATGTTCCTCAGTATGGTTTTAAACATATCTACCCTACATTTCTTCAATTGCAGTGTCATTTTTGCTTTAAAATATCTTGTGGAAAGCATGCACTTTTGACAAGAGGAGGATTATCTCTCCACAGATCTGGGGCCTCATTTCTAAAAAACTGCGCAGGAGTTGTCATAAGTTAGTGCGTACGCCTAGTAGCTACGACAAGGCGTGCGCCACGCAAACTCCATATTTAGAAAACCCACCGCACGCACCAAACCACGCAATCTTTGCTTTATAAATCCCACCTGCAACTAAAATTTGCGCACGTAAACCTACGTCACGTCACGCCCTCTCCACACCTCCACCTCACCATAAAAGGAGCATGTAAAGTGACTCGTGAATGAGATTTCCCTAAACATGAGCCGATAATCAGTGGGTTTGACCGAGACACGCGGGACAGAGGGAGGGGGACGCTCCACGCAGCACCACGTGATCACATCAAAGATGTTATTAAAGACTTTATTAAACAAGGTTTAATAAATAAATATAAAACTAAAAGTAACAACGACTCATCTGTTCATTTAATCATATTTCATATTTAGGCAGCACATCTTTGCAGTAAAGCCCATGTGTTTTTTCGCTGTTTCAAGAGTTTTATCGCTATATTTTTAAGTCTGTCTATGATGTGTGTGTGGACTGGCCCTGTATATTTAATATATATATATATATATATATATATATATATATATATATATATATATATATATATATATATATATATATGCATATACACATAGATACGTGCACGCGCTGATCTGAATGGTCAAATTTTGAGCGCGTGCGAGAGATTCAGATGCCCTTCCCTGGAGAGGGAAAGGAACGAGGGAAGGACACGAGGATACGAGGACACAGATTTAGCATGGAACACATCAGATACAGATGCTATTCTGCCAATTAAAGTCCACACGAAACATCCAAACTGCTCACATGTGAGCGTGGGTCTGGGTCGGGACGGGCACGGGCATTATTCTGTTCTTCATATTGTCAGAGAGCAGCTCTCATGTGCAAGAGTTCCCCATTACAGAAAAATGTAGGGAAGATTTTGGTTCGGGTCAGGTTCGGGCAGTGGGCTTCGTGTTGTCCGCAGACTCAGGTCACTCTGGCGCTCGGTGCGTAAAGACTTGAGTAAAAGTGTTAAAGTTGCGTTCATTAAATCAAAGCCTGGCTCCGGCTGCATCCAAGGGAAGAGTTTTCTCTCAGGTCGGGTCATTATTTCGTCCTCTGTGTTGGTCACAGACTGTGTTTTGTAGAAGTTTATGGTCGCGGTGTGGACTGTGGGAGACTCTGCGCTACACCGGATCCGGGAACGTGGCCGCGCTCGTGCATGAGTTTCAAATGTATAATATTGTGGAGAATAATGAGAGGAATAAACAGCCCTTCTCCCTGTTTTGGCGAACCAAACACTTAAATTCACAAATCTGAAGGTAATTCTTCAATATACGTGGATTTTCTGATCAAACACGTCCTCAAACTCTGTTCATTTCTGCTCCTCTCCACGAGTGTCGCTTTTTCCCCGTGTCTCCAGACTTTGCGTAGAACTTCCAGGAGGTCCCGAGTTGGCGTAGAGTTAAGCAAAGCGCCACGCCTTAGTCGAGGTTCATAAATACCGCGGTTGGCATAGAGAGCGCGTACGCAAGGATTTTTGCGTAAGCAAGCTTTATAAATGAGGCTCCTGACTTGTAACTTTGCTTAGTTGCATCAGATGCTAAACTCTATGGATATATTTTAAATTTAATGCCATACTGTGGAATATTCCAGGTAAAGCAATAACATCTCCATGGAGACAAGCAGGTCTACCCAAAAATGTAATGTAATGTGATACAAATAATAAATCAAGCACGTGGTTGATATTCCTTTCCCCTCTGGCTTTGGCCCTCTTTGTCTTTGGGTGTAATAAGCAGAGGAATGCTCAACAAGTGTCGGCATGGCAGCAGATCTGCTCAGAGCATGTTTAACAGTTATCTTAGCACAACCAAATAAGTAGTAAAACATGTTTGTATCACTTTTTTTTAGATCACAAAATCTCTTGTGTTGAAATTGTGAACTACAAGTTTGATTCTGGCACATGGTGAGTAAAATAACAAAATGTATAATTGTTTACTAGATGAGCAATATTTACTATAATAACAAAGTTATGCCTGTCATTTTTTTTAAACTGGCTAATAATTCCACCACACAACCATTTCACTGTCTTCAGACATTGGCCCGATTACATCAGCTAGGTGTGTTATTAAAGTGGTTCAACTTTGCCATCAAGTGCTTAGCAGGATATCTTGTAGCCATGCACCAAATCCTGTCTCCCTGACCGCCCAAAACTACTCACCCTTACTATCCTATGTCATTTAATCTTGCTGCCTACTGTGTGAACTAAAGATTTGAGTGGTGTGTTGTTTATAAATACAAGTACAGAAATATTTTTGAAATTCATAAAAGTCTTATCTCACTGTTTCTACATTTTGTTTGCCCTTTTCAGCTGTAAGACGGAACCGGTGGATAGTGAGACAGTCATCAGAGCCAGGGGACTTCCCTGGCAATCATCAGATCAAGACATTGCCCGGTTCTTTAAAGGGCTCAACATTGCAAAGTATGTAGAGGCTCTGTTGCATGTTTTTGTACCATAATAAAACTGTAGTTTTTAAATGTCTTTTTTCTTTGTTTTAGGGGCGGTGTGGCTCTGTGTCTCAATAATCAGGGCCGGAGAAATGGAGAGGCTTTAGTTCGTTTCATCAATTCTGAACACAGGGACCTGGCGCTTGAACGGCACAAGCATCACATGGGCAGCCGCTATATTGAGGCAAGACTGCCTCATCATATCATTTACCAACTGGTTTTAAATGTGCTTAAGAGCTTAATAAAGAGATATTAAAAATATTTTACTTTTTTTTAGGTTTACAAAGCTACAGGAGAGGAATTTCTAAAGATTGCTGGAGGTATTCCTTCTTCATATTCATATTCGTATTCAAGAATACTGAGACAGGGATGACAACTTTCTTGTGTCAAAATCAGTACATATCTGTAAAAAAAAACTTTTTCGACCAAAGGAGTCTTTTGTTCAGTAGCTCTCCACTTTTCACTGTAAGTTTGCCTCATCCTAGTGAAGCTTAGCTGGCACTAATAAAAGAGGCTTTGTGAGAATCTCACAGCCCATTGCCCCCATCCTTCTCATTCTGAGCCCAACCCTCTGAGGTACACTCCAGAGAAATGCTCCTGTTGGCTAACGGCTGCTCACCTGGTCTCTGCGCTCCCCTGAGGCAGAGGAGCCTGCCACTGATCAAAACACAGTTAGTACAAAGAAAGTGTGTGGAGACAAAGCCAAGGCCCTGACCATTCAGCATCAAACAGCACGATACAATCTCTGTGGCTGCCACTGAACAGTGGACTTTGGACCAATGACTTGCTCTCACTTTAGATTGATAGTGCACTGGACTTTAAGCTAATGGTTAAGTATGAACAATGTAACAGCACTAGGGAAGCTAAAGTAAATATTAAGATGTTCATTTCCCTCTTGAACCAACCCATTTCAGAATGTAGTATAAGTGTCATTTGACTGATATAAATATGTTTATCTAGGTACATCCAATGAGGTGTCCCAGTTTTTGTCAAAGGAGAACCAGGTGATCATTCGAATGCGAGGGCTTCCTTTCACTGCTACACCACAGGAGGTGCTGTCCTTCCTGGGTTCTGAGAGCCCTGTCACAGATGGAGCCGAGGGTCTGCTCTTCGTAAAGTACCCTGACGGACGACCCACGGGTGACGCTTTTGTGTTGTTCTCATGTGAAGAGTATGCGCAGAATGCTCTGAAGAAGCACAAGCAGATTCTAGGAAAGCGATATATTGAGTTGTTCAGGAGTACTGCAGCTGAGGTTCAGCAGGTAAGGGCACATGGCACCTCTGGGTGGTTTTCATGTTAAAATGCATGAATTTTGAGTTTGAGTTGTGGTTTTGGGGCAGGTGCTGAATCGTTACTTGTCCACTCCTCTGATCTCCACATTGCCTCCTTCACCTGTAATGCCTCTCCCAATGCTGGCCACACAACCATTCCTCCCAGCCTCTAGTAGTGTCCGTGACTGTGTGCGCCTACGGGGGCTGCCCTACACTGCGGGCATTGAGGACATCCTGGAGTTTATGGGAGAGCACACTGTCGACATCAAACCTCATGGAGTCCACATGGTTCTCAACCAACAGGTCTGACCAGGCCTTTTCTTTTACGAGTATCACAAAGCTTTACAAACACTATAATACTGTCTCTTCCTGGGTAGGGCCGTCCCTCTGGCGATGCCTTTATTCAAATGAAGTCTGCAGACAAGGCATTTATGGTTTCACAGAAGTGCCATAAAAAGACTATGAAGGACAGATATGTGGAGGTGTTCCAGTGCTCCACAGAGGAGATGAGCATTGTCCTAATGGGGGGAACACTAAACCGCAGTGGGCTTTCTCCTCCACCATGCAAATTGCCTTGTAAGTTTACCAAGAAAGCTTCAGTATATTCCATAGATATGCTGCTGTTGCCCTGAGACTCTGTTTGGGTCTGTCCATACATATATTGTTGTGTGTCAACTCTGAGATGGACCCACTGTACCCAGTGTGCACTCTCCCCTATGTGGAACTAAGGTTATAAGGAGGCAGCCTGTTTGTGTGTACTGTTGCAGCATTTCTGACAAAGAAATTGTCTTGGGGTTGCAACACCACCATGACCACCATCCATATTTGTGTCATTAAAGGACACATTATATTTTCCTGTAAACAAGCAGTGACTCGTCTTTTGATTTCAGAAGCACACCCAACCACAGTATATTGATAATGGAGACTTGCACGAACTTAAATGGTTGATAATGGTACTTGCAATTTCTTGCACACCCTTGACACTATATTTTCTGTGCATTTCAGGTCTGTCTCCACCAACAGCCTATGCAGCCTTCCCCACACCCCCAGCTCTTCTGCCTGAAGCCCTGTACCAGCCCCCCCTGCTGGCGGCTCCTCGCACTCCCCACACTGCTGCTCACACTGCTGCGCACACACTGTACTACCCTCCTCAGCCTCACCTTTACATGAACATGAACATGAACTACACAGCTTACTACCCCAGGTTAGTCCCACAGCACTAGTTCATTCCCGATTGTCGAGTTTAGATTTTGAACTGAGTGGACTCTTGTTTCTGCAGTCCCCCAGTCTCTCCCTCAACAGTGGGCTACTTTGCAGCTCCTCCGGGGGCAGTGGCAGCAGCAGTGGCAGCTCAGTCCCACCCCGCGGCCGCTGCCTCCTCTGTGCTGCCCCAGCCTGGTGCTCTAGTACGGATGCAGGGCCTTCCCTACAATGCAGGGGTCAAAGACATTCTCAGCTTTTTTCAAGGATATCAGGTAAGTCAAGTACTAAAATGTTAGATCTGTACAATAGACACATAGTACTGGTCATTTAAGAGATATTTGTTGAGATTGTTGTTTTGTCAACAAACAACAATCTCAAGTAAGTAAAGTCCTTTGAAAGAAGCATGACAGTTGGGAGTCTTATGTGTGCATTGAGTATTCCTGGATTATGCCACAGAGGTTTGGCTCAGAATCTAAAATGTGTGTGCATTTGTGTGGCAGCGTGACTGTTGGCTGAACTGCAGAAACTCTTGAAACTATATCTGTTAAGTGTATTTGGCTGCTGCAGTGTGTTACTGGGTGAATTACTGTTTGATACTGAGCTGCTGATAGACCGTGTGTCTGTGTAACTGCCCCATGGAGGCCCATCCTGACTGCATTAATATGATGCTATGTGTAGTACGGCCCTGAAGACTACAGCGGTGTGGTTCAGATGAGTGAACAGGCCAGGAGTCTGATTCAGCCCAAAGAATGGCTCTGTCTGTAGGCACCAGCCAAAGGTAAGAAGAAGCTCAACCAGAGAACCATATGGACAGGGTGGGCATTTACTCTGCGACCAGCATCTGGGTGACACAAACAAAAATATGAAATACTTAAAATATATGATAATTGTTGTAGTTATATATTGTAATTAATTGTTAATGAATTATTCTTGCCATTACCAAATATAACTGCACACATAAAATCTCACATACTAGTCTGCAGAGGAATGTCAAGTCTTGCCATTGTGGTTGTGAGCTTCAGACACGGCATGTCATTGTGTATGCTCCCAATCAGATCTGCTTCATTACCTCTTTTGTCTTTAGTCAGAAGGGATCCTCAAAGATTTTTTCTAACTCTGTTTCTCCATACTTTCTCCACAACAAACATGACAGTTTCTGTCTGTATAGTAATGATGAATATAGCTCATCTGTATGACCAGGGATGGCACATATCACAATGTCCAATTGTCTTGTATAAAGACTACTATTTTTATGTCATTTTCACTTTTTTGAAACACAAATTAAATTGAAATCATTAGTTTTGCTATTCAATCTATCTTTTAAAATTTTTATATTTGTATTGTGACAGTACTGTGTACTGTATTGGCAGTACATACATGTTTCCTTAAGTTTGATTAAAATATATGCTTATGTATTTTATTTAGGTTGACATGCATGGTGCATTCTACTCCTCAATAAAATTATTAACTTACTTGTTTTGTATCTAAAATTTGATGCAATAGTTTGCATGCTAACTAACATTGTGTGTGATTTGTGTACATGGTGTCACAGCCTGCTGTGTGGGTTTGGAGTTCGTGGGAATGACATGTCCTCTACCATAATGCTTAAGGCTCTACTGACTAAACTTTCTCCTGTCTAACTGGATTGGTTTTCACTGCAGTTAATCTGATTCAGAATTGCTTTATTTATCCCCGATTGGAAAATCTTGGGCTCCCTCTGGTGTCGTATTTGAACAAATTAATTTCCCTTTCATTTTTCTCTACAGCTGCAACCAGATGGCGTTCTCATCTTGTACAACTTCAGTGGGCAGTGCAATGGAGAGGCCTTGATCACATTTCCAAGTGAAGAGGCCGCAAGACGGGCTGTAGCAGAGCGCTCCAACAATCTTCTCTATGGCCAGCAAATCCACCTAGCCCTGTGTAACTGACCCTCTCTGACCCCCTCTAAACAGCACTGTACCTGCCTCATGCTTCTGTGGCACTCCGGAAACTATTGCCATATCAGCTCCATGTCACCTCATGGACTCATCCCACCTAGACCAATGGACTTATTGAGTGCACCTACTATAACAGCAGCGTGTGGAGAAGAGATTGTCATCCATGGCCACTGCCAACTGCATGCTTATCTTTGTATTCGTATCCTTGACACTAGTGTATGGACTGCTGTCTCTGAAAGGCTTAAGGACACCTACACCATGAGCCATCATAAACAGAGTTTAGTGCCTGTTTTTCCATCTGTACTGAGCTTCTTTTGGATTTGAATGTACACAATGTTTGCCTTTTTGGACTTTTATGTGGATGCCAAGCTATTGTTAGACCTCTCATGGAATAGAGTAAGCTGTATGTGCTAAGTGTAATGCTGAGCTGCAGGGACCAAACTACAGGCATCACACTGCCAACTAATGTGCATGTCTTTTCTGTTTAAAGGCCTGCGTGTCTTGTTCGTTTCAGTAGCGCTTAAGTATTTTTTTTTCTACTAAGAGCATGATGAATTTATATTTTTATTCTATTTCCACAAAGGAAATGTCATTAAATAGGCCAACAAAAGCCACTTTACATTAGCTACTGTGTATATGATGTATTTATAAGACTGTGTGGCTCTACTCTGCTTTGGACAAAAACTCTGTAGAAACTTCCTCTGTTGACACACACCTGTTTCTTTACCCACATTACCCAGAGTGCAATACTGGGCCACTGAGGCCAACCTCTGGTGGATGTTATTCCTTTGCTGCAAGTTTGAGACTTGCATGGATTTGAACAATTTAAAGTATATGAAGATGTAAGAAAAAAATAAAGTTGTGTATAAAATGTCTTCCATCGTGCATACATTTGTATTTTGTGCATAGTTCCTACTTAAAGATGGGTATGGTAGATAAAGGTTGAGGCTGAAGCAGGAGATAAAAGAAACAGGGTGTCAGGGTTTTGTTTTTTATTGATGTACACTATTTAAAGCCTACAGTACAGTATAATGCAAAAAGCACTGCAGTCTTAAAAATTACAAAATTTCAACATACAAAATATACAAGAAATTACAATACACGGCCTGGTAAACGTAAGCTAAAACTGTATTTCCCTTACATTTTTTACAATACTAATATACAATATATAGGCATAGATGTATGCATTAAATTCTGCATATGAGTTGCACACAACACACTGATGTGTACCAAACATTCTAGGAATGACATCCATTTGAAAATATCAAATAGGTAGCATTGAACTACAGTTTCATGGGGACATTTTGTTTGATCTTTGGTTTTGACAGAGAGGACTGCATCCAGAGTTTGGGGTCATTGCTGGTTTTTGAAAATTGCCTATATTTATTTTAAAATCGTAAGAGTGTTCATACATGTCTTGTCAAAATGGTATATAAGGCATCATCTCAGTGATAAATACCACCACTAGAGATCACTAGTAAATTTGTCATAAAATGTAGTAAATCTGTTCTATGTCTTAATATGTAATGTTCCATTTACATTTTGCATAGACAGAATGCACATGTCCTCTGTTTTTATAACAGGACACATAAGAATATATCTGTTATGTTGCATTCAATACAAACTGCATCCATTTACACAGAAAATGCACACTGCACCGAATCTGTCTTTAAAAAGCCTGAGGGTCAAATCCAGGGAATCAACAAACACAATTAAACTAGCACAAACAATATGTTGAAAGTCTAATCTATAGGCATCAAGGTTTTTTTTTTTGTTTTTTTTTATATTATTAGTTTTATAATAAGGCATGAGGCATTGTTAAAATGCATAGCAAATTCACTTTCACCAGGAAACTAAGTAAACCCCTCCTGGACAACACTCCTTGTCTGCCAGTTGCAGGAGTGGCATTGTCAAAAGCCAATGAAAGTACACTAGACCAACACAGTATTGCTATATGACTGATCAGGTTGACCCTGATTGTTATTGCTGCCATAGAGGCACTACATACAGGAAAAGTCTTTTCAGACCTGAAATCTTCCTTGTTCTAACAAAGGGATTTTATGTATACTAGCATTATGTATAAACATATTTAATACAAAACATATGATTACTTCCCAATGCTGCCATGAAGTTAAAGTGTCTTGTAAGCAAACGGAAGGCACACAGAGGGTTCTGGGAAATGCAGTCATTATTGCTGGACAGTCAAAAGCACATTAAAGCCTCTCCAAGTCTGTTAAACACTTGTGGGTCATTTGAGCTTGCCTGGTAAATATACATTGTACCAGTGTATGCAGAGCAAATGGGCACCTCCATAGCTCCATGTCATTCCCATCTTTCATTCATGTGTTGCTATATCTATCTTAACATGCCAAAATACATCAAAACACTCTAGTAACATGACATGTAAGGGGTCACAGCCTATCCTAAATCATGCACACACTAAAATAGTCAGTTGTGCAAATCAACAAAAGCTTTCACTACCTTTCAAAGCTGCTAAAACATTATAAGGCATTTGTTCAACTTGGCGTAGAAGGGGCTGAGACAGACAGTCTACGGACGTCCCAGGAGATTAAAGATGTGGAATGTTGCAGACTGAAAATCCCAAGGTTTTCCATGGCCTTAAACCAAAATGCTACAATCAATAGTGCTGTGATTGCCGAGACGCCATACACATCTTTCCTGATTGGGATTTGTAGACAGCTTCTTTCAAATGTAGGGACAGCTTCATAGCAGTGTGGTTGTCTGTTGATTGTGCTACTGCAGATCTGGCTCAGTGGCTGCACGCTCCTGAGGTTTCTATGGAGCTCACAGAAGAGGTCATCGTTCATGGAAGTCAGTGCTGGTGAAATAGGGCTAACAACACGTAGCTGTAAATGTGGACTATATAAAAAGAGCTTTGTCTCAGCATGGCTCACATAGCAGGTGTCACAAAACAGTTGGTGAGGGGTACTGGGAACCTTCCTCTGGTCGTCATGGGGACTGTGTGGGTTCTTGTGGAGCTCTCTTTGGCCACAGTCATAGTTCCTCTGTGCTGTTGGAGTTGAGAGTGGAGGTGGATCTTTAGCTATGACTGGTTGTGTGCTGCAGCAGGGTGCTGGGACATATCCCTGCCGATGATCTCATTAACTGAAAAACAAATGAAAATAAAGTAAATTTTTCTTCTTGGTAAATAAATAGCTCTCTAAGAGGTCAAGTATATATATATGTATATACTGTAAATGTGCTATTGATGACTAAATCTACTTTAGTTCATTTAAAATATTTTTTTACAATCATTTGTAGAATATAACATGTTGTTTTTGGAATTGAAGGTGTAACAGTTATTTATTTATTTTTTTTAAGTGATTGTTTCCTTTTTAAAATTGAATAAATGCACATTTTTATTAGTCAATCTGTTACATAAGAAACAGTGAAGACCTTTAAGCTTATAGGTCTACACTGCCCTCTGCCAGCAGAGGGCAGTGTAGACCTATAAGCTCCGGAGCAACGTACCTAAACTTTGAGTCTAACTGGAAAATATTGCAGATGAAAAACCCAAATGAGTGACAATTACAAAGGTCACAATGTAGTGGCTGTGACATGGAACAAAGTCTTGACCAAACAAATGAGTGTGGCGCTTCCATTCACAGAGACTTTTGCCTTACACATAACTTTCCACACATGTGCTCCAAAGACTACGTGGGGATGTCCATTACTTCATTATATTTAGTAGCACAATGATACATTTCTCTGCGCTTTTTTTTTTTTTTTAATAAAGCTGTGAATGGAACAACCCACTGTTAAAGAGCGCTGCTGAGCACACAGAAGCAGTCAGCCACAGCAGGTTTAATTACTCAGTTAGAGCTGATTTGAAAATAAATAACAGATTAGTGCTGCTGTGTTTGTGTGTGTCTTGTACATCTGCTCCTGCTTGTATATGCACACAGGGACCACCAAAAACACAGCGGGTCATCCATAAAAACGCTTGAGCCGTGAAGAGAGAGAAAGACAGGCTCAGGACGGGGCATGACGGGGAAGACCTCCATTTGTTTGGAATTTATGGAAAATATGATGTGAGGTTTTTCCACAGGGGGGTGATACCCTCAGCTAACGGCTCCATCATATGTGGGCCGCATGTGCTTGTTAGACGCACAAAGTCCACAGCAATACCAAAAGTCAGGGCTAGGCCAACTGGTTTGGGAGTGTGCAGTATAGGCCTACTGAGACCTCTGGGCCAGTCTGACAGTGGGAGGGTCTACAGCTACAACCTGTCGCTACATGACAGATACAAGAACGCCACTTGTGCAACAATGCTGTAAAAAGTGAAGAATCCCCAGGCTAGGAACACATGTTTCCTATAACAAAGAAGGCAAAGGTGACTAAATCTGTGATGAATATAGCCAAAATCTCACAAAAGTTGTGGCTTGTTCCTAAAAGGATTTAACCCGGGAATGTACAAACTGAAATTTAGAGATTACTGACTCTTTTTACAAGGCTGTTAATTCTGAAATGCACTGTTTAGAGGAAGAATAACTTCGGCACTAAGTCAGATTAAAGATCAGGGCTGCAATATCAATTGTAATTTGAATGGGTATAATAAGAAAATTTCAAAGGCTACTGTAATTTAAGTGCAGTTAACTCTATAGTTAGAGTATAGACCTCTACAAAAATATTATGAAAAAATATATATGTAGAGATCAGACTATAACAAGTCATGTTCATGGTCCAAATGTGTTTAGAAAGGCCACTTACTTTTAAAACAAATCGCCAATCTAATGGCAATCACTTTACAACTTTTACGTTTATCCAAATCCATGAAATAAAAATGTAATAATAATGAGCACCCTCTGAGACAGCCTTTGCACCAAAAGCAGGACATGTGGGTGTACTACTGTTAAACCTGCATGGTACAACGCAACAAGAACTATTTTTTCCAACTTCCAAAAAGCCAAAATGAAACTAACTCAAGGTATTTACTGGCAGAAATCTCTCACAATATTGTCTTTGTTTTGTTCTTGTTGCTTTGTGTCTGGCCACCATCACTCACATCATCCTGTTAGCGTGGGAGGCTCTTCCTTTCCCATGTCAGCCATGTGCACACACACTGACACTCAACAAGCAGTGCACATCTCACACTTCACTCTATGTACTACATGCACAATATACTGCACTACATACACAGGATGACCAGGACCTTTCCACAAACAATTTGGTTGCATCTTTGTACATTACCACATTTGACTTGATTGGTTTGTCTATAAATCGTCACAAACATTATCAAATGCAGTCATTTGTGTTTTAAATGGGAGCTTTTTATGCAATTCCACCACACAATTATGAGCAACACAAAGCAACGGGCAGACAGAACAACATTAAGTGGGTGTTTGCAAAAAGGCATATCACTTTCCACTGTGCTGATTAGAATGATGCACAGGCAAATATTAAGGTCTAAATAACACATATGAATGACAGAATCATTTGGTGTGCTATATTTGCTTCTCTTTCCACAATATTAAAACATCTGTTCTAATTAAGTTCAATCTAGTTTTCTTCTTCTCAATTAGGACAAATTCCCCCTTGGTCTGACCGAAAGGACAAAAACACAAATGGGAGTGCTCTGATTTACATAAACGGTGATGATTTTTCTGGTTATCCATGAGTAAGCCGCGTTACTCAAATTCAGTTGCAACAGGTCGCATCAATACTGAGGAAGTGAAAGAGCCGTTCTGAGTGGCCTGGTGTACGGTAGGTTTCACATGCTGATAGTGTTTTCTGTGGAGGACACCGACTGGGATGACAAAGCAGCACAAAGTCAGTACTGTTGTATTAAGAACAGGGGAGATCCTCTGCAGATGACTGTGAGGGGGACTCCCTACACGCACTACTCAGAATATTCGAATTATTCAACTACAGGAGAGGGCTAAGGCTTTACCGCTTTAGTACATGAGCAATGGATGAATGCAGAGTAAATACAGCGTCTTATAATCCAAAATATAAAACATAAATCATGGTAGGGAGACCACTCTTTGGTTGTCCTTCAGAGGTATATAGACCCCTGTCCTCTGTCCCACTTATTTAAAGAATGCCACACTTTTTCATTGATGCATCATGTAAAATAATCAGAATCAGAAATAGTGACACTTCTGGGGTGTACTGGCATTCGCGGTTATAATATATTGGCACCCATTGCTATCCTCTCTTTAGAGATTGCATTGTGATGAATAAAAACTCATCATGTGGTGTTACTGCATCTGTGAGGTTAAATTTCCCTCTATGTCCCATCACATTCAGCAACTTGTCCTCCTTTTCCCACTTAATTCATGACCACTCAGTAACTGGTATTTCTTCTACTGCCTTTATATATCTTCTGTTGCCTTTATCTATTACCTTTTGTAAGTAAGTAAGTCTTTTTTTATATAGCGCTTTCACAGACATTTTCTGTCCCCAAAGACGCTTTACAGAGCATTATTCATTCAGCATTCATTCATACAGCATTATTCATTTGCTCTATACCCTGGTGATGGTAAGCTACTATTGTAGCCACAGCTGCCCTGGGGCACACTGACAGTGTCACAGCAGTAGCAGCAGCAGCAGCACTAATACTCTTACTAACCTGGGACATTTGCTTCTCAGAAAAATCCTTTTCCCTGTTTTGAATACAAAAAGCCCATGGTTCATTTTTCTACTCTTCAAATAATTAAAATAGAAGAAAGTAGCACTACACTATTTATTACAGATATTGATACTGCAATTTTGGTTAAAGCAATAATCAGTAATGCAAGAAAATAATATATATCACAACACAGAGAATGTCATCTGACAGATAGTGACTTTTTGAAGTCAGGTGTAAAAAAAACTAGACATTGTTTTTTTATGTTGACACAGTTGGATAAGTAAATAAATGCAAATTTAAGTTCAGTTCAAACCAAAATATACATGACTTGATGTATATTTTGGTTTGAATTTAACTGAACTTATTGCATCAAAACAATATTTTTAAATAATATTGATATTTCTATACAAACCCTAGTAAATTAATATAACAAAAAGTTCTTCTCTCTTTTTTTTCTTTTTTTATGGATGGGTTCTATACACAGAATACAGCCATTTTCAGTTCACCATAGTGTAGGCAGAATATTGGCTGATATCAGCACTTACATCACATTTAACTAACAGAAACAGCAAGCTAATTTGTTTATTTTTTTAATTTGAAACTTTCCTGTGCTCCTTAATACTGCGAGACTGAGTAATGTAAAACAGAAGACGAACGGGCAGATGGACAGTGACTATGATAAACATGTCTACTGTAGAAATGGAAAAAGGGTAATTATCATAACCCTGTGACACGCTCACCAAAGTTCCCTGAAGCGGGCACAAAAACATGACTTTGGCGCAGCGGCTTAAGCAAATAACCAGGAGATTGACTGATTCCTCAGCCCAGCAAATGAACACAACATGCCACAATGGAAAACATTTGTGTGGAGGGAACAGAGAGAGGCAAGACTGGGTTTGCCTGCAAAAAGGAATATCAAAGCTCACAGTTTCCACTCGCCGCACACGTCTAAAGACAAACTACTCGGCATGCTGGAAAGAGCTACAACTTATGTTCAAGACTGGGTAAAGAGGCAAAGAAAGACAAGTAAGCTTGTCTCCAGTGAATGAGTGTTGAACTTGAACTTCCCATCTGATCTGGTGATAGAGTGATATGTTGTTGGCCGATAGAGCCGCTTTAGTTAGTCCACTCAGCAGGAGCAGAGCACAGAAGCACAATAAGAGCTTTAGGATTAAAACCATTGGGGTCTGAACAACAGAGCTACCTGGGGGTATATTATAAGGTTCTTATAATGACAGCCATAAGGTTAGAGAGAATGTATTACTCTGTTCAATATTTGTTTGGACAGATTCAAAATATAGTTTGTAAAGTTTAAGTTTTCACTACTCCTCATACACTGTATCTACATCATTATTAGTAAATATATAACATTTAATGACATGTAATAATACTTTAGTTGTAATATTTATGTAAGATCGGGATTAGGTTTAAAGGATAGGGTAACAAGTTCTGACAATGTGTTGCACTGTACTTATGTAGATCTATCAAGTGTAGTATACAAATAGTGTTACCTTGTTTTTTTTTATATATATATATATATATATATATATATAATTAGAGATGGATTAGAGACAAAAATATTAAGTATCATGTATTTTTAACAAATCGAGGATTTACATCTATAAAAATATATAGTTAAAATATATATATATAACTATATTTGTAACTATAAATATATTCATCAAAACTCAGGACTCAAACAGATCAGACCTTGTAACCAAATACCGCAGTGATGTGTGATTTACAGTTTTTCTATGACACTTGGAGAGATAGGAGCGTTTGACTGACATTTACAGGGAGCAGAGGCCCTGAGGATACTGTTGCCACTCATCAGATTATACTTTCCAATCAGAATCAAGCCACTAGCAAAAATCAACACGCACTGACAGAGTCAAGCAAAGTATGAGCACAAGCCAATCTCCCTTTTATTCAACAACCTTCATCCATGAATGTAAAACTGGGCTCCCTTTGTGTTTCAGCACTTGTTGTTCTTTCTGGAGGAAAAGATGGCCCTGGTACATCTTTCCTATTGGGCTTGAGCTGAGACCAAGACCTCTGAGGCTGTAATTGTGTGGAAAGATGACACAAGTCCCTTTTCCATTTCACAGACAGAAGCTGCAGAGTCCTGTGGAAACACTTACAATCCACTCGCTGTTTTTCATGCTACCAGTCAGGAGTGTGTAATTTGGAATTTCATTTTTTTTTTCAAAATATCCCTTATTATATATTAGTACAAATTAGATGTCTCATGTTTAATATTGAACATTGTATAAGTTTTTCTAAATCTAAATAAAAAATATGATTTCAATCAATCACTTCACTAAAAAATGAATGTACTCAGAACTGAAGAACTGAAAGGCAGTCTGAATTCTTGTACTGTATACTATATTTTATGAACTGCAATAAAAACACACAAAAAAAAACATACATTTGTGCAAAATAAAAAATAAAAAAATAAAACTAAAACCAACCTGCTAGTGTTCAATAACAATGTTATTTTTTCCAAGCCTAAAAGGAAACCTTTACCATCAACTTAAAGCAATACACAAAAAACATTTGTACATTTCATCTCACACCGCTGTGTTCAAATGGATCCTCTTTGCATTTATTATTATTATCACCAACATTCATTCATTATCTTGTCAGTTTTCATTTATAAAATGCATTTGCTCTTCGTGTTGTATAGCCCCAGGCTGCATTGTCAGATGCAAGCTACATTTCAGATTTTGTCTTGGCACTGAGTGGCCCTGCAGTGGGACTGAGGCAGAAGTAGTCTGTCCATCTGTCTGTCAGTCTGTCCGCTCACCTCCTGTGTCTTCTGCTTTGTACACACACACGCTCTCACCTCCAACAACCCAAACACACACACACAAATACACAAGCCCGCACACATCTGAGGCATGCACACGTGTGCGTCACAAGGCCCATCTGCTGCTAACTAGAGCCGCCTCTACACCACCCTTCCCAGCGCGGGACACTCAGATCACTTCAAATGATTGGTTTATCTCAGACCCTTCATCTAGAATCAAATTAGATTAAACCATACAGCTAGGATTAATACTGTGTACTTGTTGTATAGCATAAGGTACAACCAAAAAAAAGTAATAAAAAGGAAAATAAAGTCATTGCTAGATATTATATAGATAAGCCATTTTTTATTGTATTTATTTAATTTTATTTTTGCTTCTAATAATGAACATAATACATATTTTGTGAAGCTCACAATTCATATGCTAAGTTTAGTTTCACACTTGTGATTAATCAAAAGATTTTTTTTCAAAAGTTTTTTTCACTGACTGCTGCAAAGCTAATTGACAGTGACATAGTGTTGTTATACAACTTGATGCTGGTTTGGGTGTAGAACAATTTAAACTGAGCTAACAGTGATTTCTTTGAGTGTGTAATAACCCCTGAAAGTTATTGCCGGGTAAATCTCCCTGTGGCTAGTAGTTCAAAACAGAGCCTACAGATCAGACATGGCATAGAACAGCTATTTTTAGACACTGGCTCCAAACGACAGCTTACATTCCCAGTCAAACTGTGTCACACAAACTTTTTTCACAGTTTCTGGGTAGGACTAGTGCAGCTGATAACACGTGACAAAACCAATGAGCAAAGCACTGAGCAACATGTCAAAACAAATAACTGAAAACACAGAGTGACATAAATACTATGTTCAAATATGTTAATAATGCCTGTGTGTAGTCAACATAGTCAACATTGCAACCAATGTGCTCCCACCAGATCGCTGCATCCATTTAATTAAGCTCTTATAAGAATAATGTCACTTGCCTGGCCAGCCAAGACTACACCTACCTGTACAAAGAAAATAAAGGAAAAAACAATAACAGAGGACTTCATCTCTGTAAAATCTCTCAAACCACTAAAAGCACATCTGCAAGAGAAGTTTGATTTTGTCTTAAATGACACACAACCAATGAGCTCCTCTGTTTCTCATGCATCACTGAAATAAACAAACCTGCTCACACATCTCAGTTTGGAAAAAAATGTCTCTGTTTGACTTAGGCCTGAGTCGCAAAAGTGGTGATGACCAGACTGCGAAAACCTTTATATTAGAAAATATAGAGAGAACTAGTCTGGATCCCAGGCTACAGTATCACACCTCTGTGAGCTCAGGTAATGATTAACTCTAAAGGCTTTGCTCTCCCATTTGCAGCAGACCAGCCTCTGTAACTGCACATAGGCTAAGTACACGTAGATGCTGAGGACATCACGGGGCAGGGTTCATTCAGAGGAAAAAACCCTACATGTCCTGACTTCACAGTCAATTGTTAAGTCAACAAGTTCTCCTGAGCATCCTAATTAGAGTTGTTAACGCACACTCCAACACACACAGGATGTAATTACTGCACCACACAAACGCTGCCTCTGCCTTAGCGCTAGTCCAGAGCTCTGCTGGCAAAGCAAAGCACCAGCTCAGGCTACTCTGTCCTTTTCAGCAGCACAGAGAAGCTAAAGACACAAGATGAACAAGAAGTGTTTCAAGTAAAAAAAATAACATTTTAGTTCTCTAAATTTTATGTAAAATATATGTTTAACTGTGACCAAAATGTGCCTCTTAACTGTGACCACCCAATTCAGGGTTAGTTGTTCAAAAATAAATCTGTGGTCAAGAGATGAAACGCTCTCAGTGCACTGAGCCCAGAGGTATCAGTACAAACTACTGCTGTCCTGTATAAAGTCAGTGAATACATAATCTTGTGCACATGTTACTGGAGAATACAATCCCCCCAAGACCCCGGACATTTTCAGACTGAAAATGAGATTAATCACAGATGGGTGTTCAACATATTTGGTGTAAAAAGAAAATGTGATAATGAGACGAGAAAGACAAACACACAGAAGCCTACAACAGAAACTCTAAATAAGTTTCTATTTTGAGCAGACACGGACTGTATATACACCCAGAGGTCTTTATTTATGACCATTTCACTGAGGTGACTTGCCTCAAGTGAAAATTACATTTGGAGCTGCAAGCACTTCAAGCAGAAAAGGACTGAAGTAAGTTGTATATGTATTGCATGTATGTGTGTGTGTTTGTGTGGGTGTGTTGCATATGTATGCTGTATTTATATGTGTGTTTTTCATATGTATGTGTATCCTGTATGTATGTGTGTGTATTTTATATGTGTGTGCAGTATATGTGTGCATGTTCTCCACAAAGATAAAGAAACACATTACCATCATCCAGCGTGATATCCTGCAGGCCGATGGAGCGGAAGGCAGGCTCCCTATCCTCTGGCTCCTGTTTAATGTTGAGTCTGTCTGCGTCTGAGGGGTACTGCCCCAATGGCCCCGCTGGAGGGGACAGGGTGGCCATGACAGGGCTGGTGGTCTGAGGAGAGAGCTGTCCTGAATGCTGCTGCAGAGGTCCCAGAGGACTGCCCCCAGAGGTGGGGGAGGATGAGGAGGGGGACTGGTACGACACAGAGTGCAGCTGGGGCGATGATGGCCCTGAGTGTGGAGAGGGGACCATCCTGGGAGGGGGGGCACTAGAGGGTGTGGGACAAGACGCTGACCTTTGACCTACAGGGTGGTACGCCATGGTCCGCTGCAGCGGGGTTGAGTGTTGCCCTAGGAGTGGGTGAGCCGTGGGAGAGGGCGCCTGTGTGGAGTTTGGCCCACAGTGATAGCTGCCTAGGCCATGAAGGCCCAGAAGAGGCTGACTCTGAGGGGAGCCTGGGAGGGGTGCTGAGGAGGGCAGAGCAGAGGGCGAGGGGCAGGAGGATGATGAGTAGCCCAATCCAAGACCTACCGAGTGGGGTCCTGTAGTAGCATTCTGATGAAAGGGGAGTCTCTCATAGCCCTGTGCGGTCAGACTGGACTGGCCGTTGAAAGCCAGACTAGGGGCGTGACTGTGCATGGGGCCATAGGACGGGCGTGGAGAGGCAGGAAGAGGACTGGGACCAGGACCGGACTGGAACGACATGTGGCAGTCTGTGGGCGGCTGCTGCAAACTGTGTCCCTGAAGGTGAGGCAGGTGTTGGAATGAGGGGGAGCTGAGCGGGGGGCAGGGGGGGTGTGGGACCAGCAGGCCCGGGCCAGAGCTTGCAGCCAGACCATGAGGCGAGCTGGACAGAAGGCCGTCCGGTGGGGGCCCGTGCTCAGGAGAAGGCAGCTGGGTGCGCACCAGAGCGGCACTGTGTGCCAGGGGCATGGTCAGAGGGGCCGCAGCAGGATGCTCCAAGTCCTCTCGCTGTTCCTGTTTGACCAACACTGCAGGCAGAACACAACCACAATCAATATGAGAGACGTTTCACAAAACAGTACAAAGGTCATATCTAATGCCTGAAGGTAAAGCCCTAAACCAGTAAATGTTTCTTTAACATACCCAAAATATTATCTATGTCAAAATATTTACTGAAATGTAAAACTTTTAAATCTACAAGTTACAAAACCTTCACAGCAATTGGGGTCATTAACTCGATAGTGATGGTGCTGCTGTTCCACTCAGTAACCTATTTCTCAATCTGCTGCTAAGTTTTATTTTTATCCAACTCTGAATCAGAGGGAGAGCATATGTTGTCAGTCTGGGTGCTATCACGTGAAACGCTGTGTGTGAAGAGTATGTGAATGTCCCAAATCCAATATTCAGGCCAAAAGTACAAGCTCAATTATCGATAATGATCCACTCAAAGTAACACATTTTGACAGGAGGTGTATTATTATTATCATTACCTCCGCCAAGGAGGTTATGTTTTTGCCGGCGTTTGTCTGTTTGTTTGTTTGTTTGTTTGTTTGTTTGTCTTTTAGCAACATAACTCAAAAAGTTATGGACCGATTTTGATGAAATTTTCAGGATTTGTTGGAAATCTGAAAAGGAAGAACTGATTTCATTTTGGGGGTGATCCGGAAGAAATCCTGGATTCTGGATCACTTTGAAATTTTAGTTAACATTGTGGTAAATGGGGCCAAAAATTTTGTTTCTCAATATCTCGGTTAATTATTGACCAAACCCCATGAAATTTGTCTCAGGGATGGACAATGGGATCCTCTTTCATATTCCAAAGGCTGATCCGGATCTGATCCAGAAGACTGATTTTATTGCAATTTATATAAAAAATGGGGGTAGTCCTTGGCGGAGGTCTGCACTCTCTGACTGCTTTTCTAGTTATTATTATTATTATTAGTAGTAGTAGTAGTAGTAGTAGTAGTAATATTATTCATAATAATAATAATGTTGCTTAATGGTGATTATTGATAACTGAAGTGTTTGATCACAAATAGCAGGAGGTATTGGTTACTGCATTAGTATCAGCATCCAGCTTGAGTGACAGAGGAGGGTTGTTGCAGTCGTCTCAGATTGGTTGGCCTAATCTGTCAGCAGGGAAAACAGGAACTGCTTGTGCCGAGTGGGCGTGCTTGCAAACAGAGCGGTGTGGCGGAGGAGGCAGACCTGCACACACTCGCTACTGTGGTAAGACTCTGGTATTGGATGTGCTGCACAAATGTAAATATTCACCCGCAATTTCTTTTTCACTTTGACTCATTTATTTAAGAAAAGCAACAAATCAATGTTTACACTTTGTAATGCAAAGTGAATACTACTAATTTATGTAATTTTGCAATACAAAACTCATGCAAGTACACTAACATAGCATGAAATTTGGCAGGTGTTCATGTTTTTGGCACATAAGATCCTCTGTAGACCACAGTGAAACTTTATTTGCATAAGGACAGAAATGGGGTCATTTAAATCTCCTAGGAGTGTGTGAATTACATCTGTTTCTTCTGTCAGTCACATGCCTTTAAACTAAAACACTGAATACAGTCTAGACCAGAGGCTCATGGGTTAGTGGTATAGCTCCTTATACCTGGCAAGTATGTGAAACGCTGAGATTGGCTTCTTTTCCTTTTGCCATTGCAGACGTAGAACTGCACCTGCACAGCTGAGCTCACAGTCTTACTGTGATACGGAGGCACCTCCACTAGAATGCACGACTGGAGCACAGAGATATTCTATTAATGCTGAGTTTATTACTGACAAGGAATTAGCAGCAAAAAGAAATAAGTACTCACCCCTTGAGATTTTTCACATATAATTTTTGCTTCTAACTCCCATTGTGGTCGTCCATCTGCAAAAAATAAAAGAAATTGATCCCATAACTGTTAGGTACTCAGATCCCCCCCCCCCCCCCCCCCGTCCGCCATACAGAGGCTTTATGACTATACACCCAGTGTACTAGGTGTAGAGCCACACAAAAAGTCAAAAGTCTTCTTGTCCTTTCTTGGTAACTCAGGTCAACTACACAGCAATCCATGTTCAAATAATGCCATGCCATTATAGAAATGATTCCCTTTAGTGAAGGAAGATCTTAACTCTTAGCTGACAAGGAGTATTTATTCCAATGAGCAAATGACCTTGACTGTCTTTGCAGCTGACAGCGCCACATTATTACAGTACAGCTTGTTGACATTCAACAGGCAAGAGCAAGGGCCCCACATGCTCTTTCAGACAACAAGCAGCAACAGGAACCTCATTCCATAGGAAGACAATGACTGGGATAAGCCAGACACCTAGTGCACAGCAGCGAGTGCAGAAAGCACTTTCTTTAAACCAACCTGTGTGCTCAAGCCAGTATAAAATATATCTCCTCAAACTCTATAGACAAGCAGAAAATCCAACAGTAGAATGTCTCATACACACAGTACCTCTAGATTATTCTAGTGTAGGTCCAGGAAATACTTTATAATACTAAACAACTCAAATAAGAATTGATTCATTCCAATTATATTATTTATATATTTAGTCAGTGAAAGGTAATATAGCATGCATGCATGAAAAGCGCCAAATGACACAGAAAGACCCAACTGTATACATTACTGGTCTTCATGATCATTTAGACAACAATTAGCAGATTTTTCTGCTGTGAGAGAGACACTAGCTTCTGAATAGACTTTGCTTTACAATGACGATGAGTCAAAAAATTTAAGACTCAGACAACATAATTATTAACTTTCCTTCACTGTGTTCATGCAGTCAGGGCCCCAGCTTCTGCATATCCATAGTGCACCTCAATGTCTCCTCTACTTGAACATCAGGGAGTGTTTTCAGCTGTGCTGCTTTTGTATGCCACGCTTCACCTGGTACCCCTTAAAACACTAAAGACATTCCTTCATGGAGCTTTTGCTCTAGAAAATCTTAAGAACATGCCCTCACCCCCACCTCTCACAAAAACGCCACCGAACTTGTTGCCATGTGTGAACTGAACTTTGTTGATCTACATAGCCTTGAGCAGGCATCAACTGGCTTAACAAATGTTAGTCATTTAAGTTTTCTTCGATAGGAACAGTCATTACATGTGTTTAATAAAACACGGTAAAAAACGGTAAGATTAAAAGAAGCAGAGAGACAGTGTTAAACTATTAGGATCATACATCAAATCTAAATAATTTCTGAAATCAAATAAACCAAAAATATATTCAATATTCAAGGTATGTGACAAATAAGTATGAAGTTCCACAACTGTCCCAGTCCTTAAGGCACACAGGAATGCCACTAGAATTTTGCAGCTGCTGTATGCACACTGCTCTTACCAGGGCCCTTCTCCAGGAAGATGACCTTGGACTCTGGAAAGAAGTTGGAGCCACTGATGAGCATCTCCTCTCCCCCGCTGACCAGACAGCTGGTCAGGCTGGACTTCTCCACCTGGGGTAACTCTTGAGCTGAGCGTTGAGCTAGAAACATCACAGGGGAATAAAAAATAAATAATATATAAATATATATATATATATATATATATATATATTATATATATATATATATATATATATATATATATATATATATATATATATATATATATATATATATATGCTGTCATATTTTCTAAAGCACCTAATGATGCACAACTTATAATGCAAAATCAACTTTGTAGAGATTTAACCATAATGGTTTCCCCTTCTCATTTACCCACTCAAATTTGTATTTAAAGTGATTCATGCATGCCTGAGTAATCTTTATTCTATTGAATATATTAAATTTTTTATATCTTTTTTATATTAAAGATGCCATTGTTCGTTCCAACCCCATTTTCATAGCCACTGGTCACTGTGTGATTAGTAAGTGTAAATAATTCTTTTTTTTTTTGTGGGCTCTCATGACCTCACAGCTGGTAGACACTCACAGCATTCTACAGGAATGGAGGCCGCCTGAAGTGACAGCACCTTCCCGTTGGCCTGAGGGATGTGCACCCTGAACACCACGCGCACCCGGGTGTTCTTTCGTCCGATGTCCGTCTCTCCTTTACGCAGTTCTATGTCAGAGTTACGCAGCTTCAAGATGCCAGCACAGTCAATACTGGAGGGAAAGGAAACGAGTTGTGTCTATCATTTAATGGTTGCATTTCAAATATTATGTAACTTTTCTAGTGAATGGTCCATCACCAGCTTGTCTCCATGGAGATGTTACTGTTTTGCTTCAAATGTTCCACAGTATGTCATGCAACTTATCTCTCTAAACAGAGAGAAGGAATTTTGTGCAAAAAAAATTAAATAAATAAATGAAAGATAAGTAAGTTTCATGCTATACTCTGGAACATTCTAGGCAAAGCAACCTGGACTTGACTTTACATCAAAAAAGTGACAGAGGGCACCTACGTACCTGGCTGACATGTTGTTTTCAGGCAAAAGAGGAATTTCTAGAACTTTGGTGCTGGACACTATGATTTCTTGGCTAGCCGTGGCCACAGTTTTCCCTGTTATCCGATGGACCTGGTAGAAGGCATGGGGTCTCAAGTAGCGATCATCTGCTGTACCAATGAACATTTGCAGGTTGATAGGCTTCTCACTGTATCCTATGAGCTGCAAAGACAGAAGCATGGTATGATATGAAACATTTAATGAAATGTTTGTTTCATGATTTCCTTTTGGTTGATGGAAGGTACAAGCCAATATATGTGTTGCTAATGTATTCAAAAACAATAATTTGAACACTGACAGCTGTGGAATAGAGCAGCATTTGGAT